TCCGCTGCCTGACCCCCAGCCCACCGTCGCCGCCCTGCTCCTTGACTCCCAGCCCCAGCTCCACCAGCCTGCCCCTTCCATGCGCAGCCCGGCCAGTTCAGGAGAGCTGGCCACGGCAGCCCCACTCTCGGTGCCTCAGCTGCACGCAGACCACCCTGGGGCCTCGGGGTGCTGGAAGAGCAGGATCCTCGGGGCACCATGCTCTGGCGTGGGAGCCGGTGGTGGGGCCTGCCTGACAGCCAGCCCCTGGCTTACAGATGTGTCCATACCTCACCTGCTAATATGCCTTTAAGTTGCTCATCGTGTGGCCCCTAGCCCCATCCATCTACCTGTGCAGACCAGAGCTAAGAGGCTGTACGCAGCATGAACCCACACTTGGAGAAGAGGATGCTAGCTCAGGGCTCTCCCTGGCTATAGGGAGGCCTGGTAACAGGGTGTTCTTGTTAAATTCTACCCTTCCCTCCCCTAATTTTCCCCGTCTTCATTTTGTTGAATAGAAACAAAACATAAAAATATGAGATGAATAATCCCCAGCTGCTGAGAGTACAGCTCAGCAAACTCCCCTTGAGGCAGAGCCGGCTCAGCCTGCCGCCTTTCCCAAGGCACCTGTATGCCTGTTACAGCATGTCCCCAACCAGAGCACAAAGGGGGCAGCAGGAGGGCTGTGGGTGGGCAGACAGGAGGGTGAAGATGCTATACAGTCATCAGCAATGGAGAGAGGTTATAGCAGGACAGTGCCTACAGTGTGGGATTTCTTGGATATGTGGGCAGAACCCACAAATCCAGCACTGTCTTCTTGCGTGCAGCAGCAACAGGACAGGGATCCTGCAACCAGCTGACTGCTGGATGAGATGACGCTAGTGTTTGTAGGATCTGCTACTGCATGAAAATAACAGGAGAAAGTCAGGACAGAAACAGAACTGCCAGAGGCTTCAAGTACTTTAGCACAAGTACAGCAAGTGAAAGGGATTTTTCAGAGTAGGTAAATTCTTTACCATTTCCTGTACTAAAAATCCCTCATCAGGTAGTAACTGATGATTTCTCAGTGGTTTTGGCTGGGTTAAAGACATCCTAAATGCTTGTTTGAAATAAATTGGAGTTGTACAGAATGAGCAAAATAAAGAGATAATGTAGGCTTTGCAAGAAGTAATTAATGAAAGCAGTAATTTTATTTGTGTTTTGTTTAGCCCTCCTAGTAACTGCCCACATATTTCCGTTGTTTTATTCCTGGTCTTCATTTGCCAGATGAAGTGCTTCCCACATTTATTTTCAGGTCCTAGGAGTGTCAAATATGATAGGAATTTAAATAAATTCAACAGTAGCACCAGATGGAGCTTGGTATTAGGACACCTGGGGGGGCGGGGGGGAAGAAGGAGATAGTAGAGAATAAAACATATATGATTACTAAATATAATCAACACCAACTTTTTTGTGTCTGCTTGTCACAGGCTTGAATAGCAGGTGCTATAAACTGTGATTACAAGTGACTTAGTGTTCAGATAATCATCTGTTAACTCTAAGTAGACTTTGCGTAGAACATGCCTGAAAATGTGCTGGATTTGCTATATGCTCTGAAAGTCTCCCATCTTTTAAAGTATTTTTCTACAAGTTCTTTCAGGAAAGCCCAAAGTGTATCAAGGTGTTAGAGTAAAGATTACAGTTAAGGAGTTACTGCAGCAGAGGAGAGCACGACAAGCAGCAACCAGCTCAGCGGTAAGTAAAAATCTTTTGGTGTCTGCTTTGTCTCTTTACTCTTAATCTTTTTTGCCAAGACTGTAATCTCTGAGCCGAGGAGACTGCCAAAGTCTGAGTGTAGCAGGCTGGTGAGGATGGGGGAGAAGAACATTCAGCCAGGGTAACTGCAGCAGTGGTCTAAACAGGAGATGGTCTGAGCCATTAGTGCAGGGTGAAAGCAGAGCTGGTGCTCCAGAAACGTAACTCACTCTGGGGTGGAAGGCTCACATGGACAAATTTCAGTCCCACTTACAGTTATCACAGCAACTCCAGTATCATTATGCTGGATGAGAAAGGCAGGCCATGGTCACTGCCCCCCCATTTAAAATGTGGCCTGGCCAGGGTGAAGCATGCACCAAACTTTTTTGCAGCATCAGGTGAAGGATATGCTCAGGGCATGCCTTTGACCCGACCTGTGCAACTTTGGGGAGCAACCAGTACAAAGCTCTGTCACACGAAAAGCTCCCCTAACCTCTCCCTTTTCAACAAGTGTCAGCCCACCCCAGGAAGCTGCTTTCAACCACCCCCTAACCTTGGAGGCTTTCTCTTGACCAGTTAGGTCAGGCAGGAAATGAAGGCACCAGAGGTGCAGTGCCTCGGGCAGGTCCCGGGCAGCGGAAAGGGTTTGGGAATTTGGGACTCAGCAACAGCCCCAAATTTTGGCTAGCAGAAAGGAAGAACACGAGGCACGGGCAAAGACTCCTTAAGCAGGCTCCATCCTGCGCCATTAGGGCTCCTTAGCGTAAAACGCAAGCACGCTTGACTGACTTCAGGTCTCTAATGTTTTTTCAGTACCACCTAGGCAGCGCCTAGCCCCGTGCTTTCTAAAGGAGGGGATGGAGATCTGTGTGTGTGTACACACACATGCGTACACTGTCTCTCTCTAGCTTTCTCTCACTCACTCTTCCAGTCTTTGTAGGAGTCCTCTAGTTCCAGCCACTCCAGGGATTTGCATAAAGAGGTTGGTAAATCATTACTTCTTCCTGGTTTGTGACATTACAGCTTTGGATGGTTTTCAGATTTCATCTCCCACCTCCCGTACCTCATTGCAGCTGATCGCACAAAAAGCTGATCAGCCTGCGAGCCGCAGGCGGAGAGGCCTGGGTGGACAGCACACAAAACCGGTGGGCTTTGGAAACGCTGGCTCGCTCCTCCCCTCCAGCCCTAACAGAAGCAGCCTCTTCACCGCAGCCAGGCATCGCAGGGCTGCGCAGAACTGGTTTTTGCTTCCCACAGTGAGTTTACACAGCGCTTGTTTTGCCCGTACAGGAAAAAGTGAAAAGCGGCAGTGCAGGAGGTTACCTTTGTGATCTGCAAAAGGTACACGTTGTCCTAGAGAGGCCCCAGAGGTTCGGGCTGGCAGGATAAGCTGCCTCTGTGCACTGAAAAAAGCCGAACCTGAAAACTTCTGCTGCCGGTGGTATGGCTCTGTCCGTCTTGTTACACATCTGCAGCCAAAGAGAAGAAGGGTAGTCCTGCAGGCACTCTCAGCCCAGAATAGCCACTATTTAATGGATTAAATGCACAGGGATATGCAAGGAAGTTGTTCCTAGGGAAGCGAGCCACTAACTCAAGAGGATTTTGAATAAAGGAAACAAAGAGGAAGTCTCTAGAAATTAAAACTGAGGAAAACCCCCAGTATTTGTATTTGCAGAGTAAAATCCTGGTCCCAAACAACAAGCATCAAAACTCCTGTTGCTTTTGGGGTGGATTTCTCCCCTCCAGCAGGTCAGGTTCCTAGAACAGATTGATCTGTCCAGTCTCCAGCATGCCTCAGAAAATGAGACTGTCCGTTTTCATAGAGGCACGTAGCTGTGTTAGAGTGGGGACCGGTGTCGGAGCAGGTTCTCAAGTGACACCAACACCAAGCACGGTGACCCAGTCTGCTGCCCAGCCGTGAGGATACCTGCATGCCTTTAGTCATGTTTCAAGAGTTATTGCTACAATTTGTTAATTACCCATTCTCAATCGCATTTATCCACACAAATTCTTTGGGATCCCCCCACTGTGGAATTCATGGTCCTAGAAATTAGCAGGTTACTTTCACAGGCAGCCACACCTCTGCTGAATTAACAGTAATAATGCAGTAGGAAGAGCCCACTAGCAAGGTGCTGTATCGAGGGCTTTACACCAGGTTGATGTTGTGTTCCGCCAGTGCCGGTATAGGCTCAGGGAAAAATCATGTTATGCACGTTAATCTTGTTCTGTCAATGCTAGGGAAGTTTTCCATATCACCTACATAAATAGGTTGAAGCAAAATCCTGACTTACCTCAGCATGCAGACAAATGCTCCCCTATGTTACAGTATCTACAATTTCTTTTCTTCCCTTTTCTTTGGTCAGGTTTCTTGGGGCAGCAGCAGCAGCATCCAGTTTTCAGAGTCTGTGTCTCCTCCTCACCCAGGTTGGTACAAAGTCCATCCACATGTCCCTTCCCATCCCCTTCCCAATTTTTCCCATAGCCCAGAGTCTTTCCAGCCCTTGGTCGAGGCAGGCACTACCAGATAAGTGGCAATGCAGCCAATCAGCACCTGAAAGGAGCCCATGAAATGCAGATGAGGATGCCGTGAGGCCAGCAGGGTACACATTACCCTGTTCAGGAGCACGCTCACATGCTCTCATTTGTGCAGTTTATTTTTCCCACAGCAAGGAGCGAGATCCCCTTCAGGAAGGGATGCTCGTTCCCTAGGGAATAACACTGCTGGCATCACCTCGTCTAGGCTGCAGTCGTGGGTCGGACTGGAGCTAGAGGGTCAGCTCACCCTGGAGTGTTTTGCTGAGCTCCAGCAGAGTTGGCTGTTCTCACTCTCCTGGCAGCGTCCATAGCAGTGAGAGGAGTGTCAGGTTTTCAGCAACACAAAGAGTTTCTTCCTCCTGTGTGTGAATATCCAAGGAAAGGGGAAAGGGGCGGGGGGAACAGCGCTTTGGGCTCACGGATCCTTCAATTATTCTGCAGCCAAAGCAGAGAGACCTAAAAGGTTGGGCAGGTGTGAATATATACATTGTATGGAAAAGGAAATGATTAAACCATCAATATTTGGGAATCAATTTGCTTACGTTAATACAGAAATGTGAGACATACCAAAGCTTTTTCAGGCTGGAAAGTCTCCATCTGTTTATGTATTTTGGGTGCTTCTCACTTCCTCCCCACATCCAGCTAAACCCTGCCACCTTGAACCTGCAATTATAACCGAGTGACTTTCTACCCGTGTGCAGTTCCGTTGCCTTCAGACCTGTGCCCCTCCACGTAGACAGGGCCTTGCTTTTAACTATATTTGAGCAGAGCCTGAAAAGATAATAATGCTGAAAAGTCAGATGTGCTGTGAGCTTTGCTACCCCCAGCAAGTATGCTGCAGTACAGTGAGAGTCTGACCCTACAGCTTTCTAGGAACTCACACTTTCGTCAGTAGCACTACGTGGACACAATGCCGCGTTATCACTGACTTGCTCACTTTTGTCTGCTCTGAAGTTTGTCTTCTGTCTGGTTGTTTGGAGGATAATAGAGAAAATTATTCTTCTGTTATCCCCCTCTTCCTGCAGATGTAGCTTCCTTGCATCTGGAGACTGGGTGAGGCAAAGGCGCAAGCCATCTGCCAAGCTGTGAGGCATAAATCACTGCATGGCAAATTTCTAGGTCTGTAAACACTTGACATTTGAAGAGAGGCCAGAGGGTCAAGAGTCTGAGGGAGTTTCCAGCTGGATCCCCATCCGTAACGGCTGGAGCCAGAAAAGTTTCCAGCAGTATTTAAAGAGCTTTGAATCCTTCCAAGGGAACTAAAGTTCCCAAGTCATTTGCATGCTTTTGAGCATCTTCTTCCTGGTCTCTGCTTCCCTAGAAAATTCACCCTGAACTCAAAGGACCATTTTCCTTGTCTAAATCCATAGGGCTACTGACCACATGAGAATACTGAAACCTGACCTGGGGCAACACCTGCCCTTCGTGAAGACAGATACTGAATAATCTGCTACTGTCTGGTTTACCTTCTCTCCTAGCACCTTTTGACACAGAGTCCATCTCTTCTGTTCCCAACTATTGTCCATCGTGGCAGTTTTCAAATTGCCTCTCCTGCGAAGAAAGCCCTAGCTATTTGGAGCAGCTGGTAGATTCCTGTCTTCAGACAGATGCGCCCTTAGACTCAGCCTTCAGTGCTTTCCAGACGTCCTCGCATCACACCTCAGACGCCTTCCAGCCAGTTCCGCTCTGCTTTACCCAAGGCCTGGTAAGCTTTATGTCCCAGAGGAGCAGCCACAGGTGCACTCAGAGGGAAGACAGGGACGGGAGTCACATCCTGCGGCAGAACAGCAGCAAGCCGACTTGGAAATGTGACTGCTTTTAGGGGCACGGGGTGCAGCCACAGCAATGCAGGCTGCTTGTGTGGACTTCTGCATGGTTTGCCACTGGGAGCAGAGGACAGGGAGGCCCAGCCAAATCTAGAGAGAGGCTGCAGAATAGGGAGCGTCCCTTCTACAGATCCTGTAAGTTTTCTGCAAAGAATTGCCCAGTTCCTGCTAGAAGTTGTCTAACTCGCAGAGAAAATCCCTGTTAGCGCTAATGTCGCAGGAATTGCCTCTTGGGTTTAGGCCTCCGAGGGCCCAACCATCTCCCTACCGCCAGACCCTCCTGATAAAGGCAACGGCATGGAAATTCTGGCTGCTGTTCACGTTTCCCCAAATGACCGCCTGACATGTCCTGTTGTTTGGTTTTTTCTCTCCCTAACTCTAGGCTGCCGGATCGCCCAGTTCAGCTGATCTGTCCGGCCCATTAAACTATAGCTGCTCTCCTCCTCAGCTCTCTCCTTTCACTCCACTGACCCACAGCCCACCCTCTGCCCTGGACACCAAGACCTGTGGCTACCCTGCAGAGGAGTGGTCCTGCCATCCCCCCGCCCCATACACCACCTCCACCTGCTGCTGCACAGCCTGTGGCTCCCAGCACGTGGACAACAGGGTCCCGCAGTACTTCCCCTGCCCCAGCACCGACTGCATGGACTACCTGCCGCCTGTGGCCATGGCTGATGACTTCTTCAGAAGGGACAGGAACTGTGACATCTGCTACAGCTAATGGGACTGTGGTTTTGCACATCCATTGTATCCAAATCAGATTAACTGCCCATGAACTACGCAAAGTTGCGCTGCCTAACACAATCCAGTTTATTATTCACTACTTTTACGTTTTCTACATGATGCTGTCACTACGTTAGTCCTCCCGTCTTGTACGGTCAGGAGTGTTTTGTTGTGGTGGTGGTGGTTTGGGGTTTTTTTCTGGGGTGTTTGTTGTTGTTTCTTAAAGAAATCCTAAGCTGCCTTACTAAACACATGTTATTAAGCCAGCTCTTTTTCATACAAATAAATAATTTGGCACACAGGCCGAAGCCTGTTCATTCCTCATGTGTTAAATGTCAGTTCTTTTCTGCTAATGATCCAGGATTCTGGCCCTGTTCTCACAAAGGTGAGGAAGAGAGAATCTCAGCAACCTACGCAGGGAGCACTTACTCGGCAGCACGAAAGGTCTTGCTTACGCTTGCCAGCAGATAAAAGTCTGAACGTATGTCAGCACCCAGCACGCTATCCAGAAAGCAAGCTGTGCAGCAGCCCACTCTGATACGGGTCTGCAGCTCCTCAGCCACTGCTTCTGCCCAGGCTGCCATGATGATGATATTCTCTAGTGGTTCTTGCAGAGAAGGAAAACCGCTGTTTTCCATGCAAGCTCAGGGCTTAGCCCATGGGTCATGTGGCAAAAAGGCCTCTCAAGCCCGCACAGAGGTTGAATCCAGTGCCAAACTTCTTTGGCTGCTGCTCAACACCGGCTTCCCCGGGAAGGCAGTTTCAGTGAGAGGCTGATGTCATTTGGCAGCCCCTTGTATAGTTTGGTCTGTTGATAGCACGTTTTCTCCACCTTTCAGCATATAACAGGAGCTAAATGATTTTTTAAAAAAGTAGATAATGGGAAAGTAATCACACCTGAGGATTCCCTGTTTCTTGCGTAAACCCAGACCTTTCGAAGACTGTCTTCGAAGACCTACTTTTAATAGCACTTGGTGAGACAGACTGCCAAGCCACCAGTTTCTCAGCTGAGCACCCAGACTGAAAGAAAGAAGCATCTCTCCATATTAAACCCAACACAAATGAAAAAACTAACTGCACCTGTGAAGAAAAACAAATAATCTAACTAGCTGTATGCTCACCTTCTCCTCCAGACACTTCTGCAGTTAACTGAAAAATCTTTCCCCTCCCCGGAGCTGAAATTACCCATATGGCCGAGGCGGCAACGGACACACATATCCAGCTGGCAAACAGGTTTTCTTCATTCTACCAAAAAAACCAGCCAATATTTCCTCACCCTGTGAAATCTATGAAGAACTAAGACTAACATTTCTTTAATGAGACTTTAAAAAATATTTATATAATGCCAGTTATTTCAACCTTCATCAGAAAACAGAGCTGTTACCTCCCATGCAGCCTCCAGGGCTCTCTTCACTTTAAGTTCTCTATGAGCTAAAAATGGCATTTTTCCTGTGTGCAGTCCAGGTCCCTGGACAGGACGTTTCATTTTTGCCATGCTAGACAAGGAGATTACACAGCGAGAACTGTACCTTTCCGATATCCAGTTCCTTTACCTTATGTGAGGTAGCAGCCTTTTTTCCAAAGCTGGCTTTAAAATACTTTGACAACTTTAAATATCTTCCCCTCTCCCCTGTTGTTACCTGATTAATCTCAGAGTTGGCCCAAGGGATAAATGCATTTGGTCACAGAAAGATTATCGATAGGAGTTAACAGCTGTCTCTCTGCTGCAGTTAAATGTGTGATTACCCCTGTGCAGAGACACTCTATTAGGTGTTATTTTAAGTAGTACTGGCAGGTGCTCCAGCCGCTGAGCGTTCTCTCAGGACACCGGAGGGCTACACTTCTACTGCCGCAGCCTACTCCGCAGCTTGCTCAGTGCTGGCTACTCCTGCCTGCTGCTTGAGGAGCGGGCACACCTTTAGCCACGTGTCATAGCCCCTTATCACCAATGTGAAAGGGCCACAAGAAGACAAGGTTGAGGCAAGATATTTGAGTCTTCCAGTAAAAATAGGGTAACCACACCCTCTCCATGGGTTGGCAATGTTGGCCAGAGCTTAACAGAGCTGACATGAGGTGTTCTCATACAGCGAAGGGAAGAGCATGTGAAAACGGTAAGTAAGCATTCATCGAGAGCACTCACAGTAACACATCTTACAGCAAGGTTAATAGTATCCCAGCCTACACAACAGCACCAGCAAGGCAGACAAATAAAGTGTTACAGTCTAACAACATACCTCTCACCTTCACATGAGGCGGATATCTACATCTAATACGTTATCAGCAGATTGCACACTTATCAGTATATTGTGGCATAGATCTGTACAGATATCAGCGGTTACGCTGCATTTCCGAAGAGGATTGCTCTGCTCAAAAGGCTGTGGTGCGCAGCGGGGAGGTTGTGCCCATCACTGACCTTGTGGCTGCTGTTTAGGCATGACCACTTAGGAATGTCAGCGTGAGCCACAACCCACCCTACATCCCATTCTTATTCCTGCTCCTTGGATGTTGCCTGACCCAGGTAAAAGAAGCACTCCTCCGGCGGGGGAAGCCGTCTCTTGGAGGGCTAGGCTGGTCTCACCACTAAGCTTCCACACTTCCAGGGCTCGCAGGTGGCCGAGGTCCTGAGACGGCAGCATGCAGCGTGCTCTTAAAGACAGCAGATATTTAACAGCTATTGGCCTCGTGCTGCATGGGGCCAGCTGCTCTGAAACTAGCAACTGCTCTGTTGGGACAAGGATATTTCCAGCACAGTGTTTCTATGCACCGGGGGCTCTGGACTAACAGCTGCCATTAAGTAAGTAGCACTGTCCTCCTCCCTTGCAGCCTCTTCCTATTTCTCTGCTGCTCTTTCTCCAGTTGTTTTGCAATCCTCCGTGCCAGGGACTGGAACCATGGTTTAGACACGGTTCCCCAAGTCCACGGCAATAGCTCCAGGTGACACGTGCAGTGCAAGTAAAAGCTTGCTGACTGTTGACACAATGATGCCTTGTTGATACAAGAAAGGAAACCAACAGAGGATGACTATTCAAAGGTTGAGGTGCGTTTTCTGGCTATGAGGAACATATTCTTTCCCCCCTTTATTCCTCCACCCCGCCAAAAAAAAAAAGGGGGGGGGGGAGGGGGGTTAAAGGACAGCACCTAG